ATATCCCATATTAAGCAGTGCGTGCCTCTATACGTTTCTATGCAACAGCAGGCACTTCATTGAGGGCCATTACAATATAGTACCTCTCATCCGGACAACTATGTTGTAAGACTATTTGAGTCAGAAGTTTAGATATGCTAAAAAAACAAACGGCCGACGCCATGGCTCACTTGGTTAATCCTCCGCCTTGCGGTGCCGGCATCCCATATGGGCACCGAGTTCTAGTCCCGGTTGCCCCTCTTCCAGTCCAGCTCTCTGCTGTGGCCCGGGAAGGCAGTGGAGGATGGCCCAAGTGCTTGGGCCCTGCACCCACATGGGAGACCAGGAGGAAGCACCTGGCTCCTGGCTTCAGATCGCACAGCGCTGGCCATAACGCCATTTGGGGAGTGAACCAACGGAAGGAAGACCTTTCTGTCTCTCACTGTCTATAACTCTACTTGTCAAATAAATAAAATTAAACAAATAAACAAACCGGAGCTCTGATTCAAACCCAGGGTTCTTCAACTGCTCAGGACTTTGTTAGGCATTTTCTAAGCTCCTCACACGAACTAAGTCATTGAATTCTCAAGACAATGCTGTCCTAAATGTCCTTTTACATCCCAATTTTTATGGCTGAGAAGAGGCAGAGAATGTGCACAAGATCACATGGATTAACTGGCAGAGTTGGGACTCAACACAAGCAAGCCAGACTCCAGCATCTCTCTCTCAGCCCCAGACCCAGCTTGCCCACCACACATGCTCCCTCAACACACAAAACATCTGGAAGCCATCTTCCCAAGCTTGTCTCTTATTCTGAATCTCTTAATGACTCCAAGATAGAGTAGGCTTTCTTCTTCCCTTTCTGGCTCCCCTAGCTCTGAAGCCACAGCCCAGGTGAGAATCCTGGCCCCACCACTTGCTAGCTGCCTGTGACTTCTGCCAAGTTCCGGAATCTCTTTGTCCCAGTTTTTCTTCAGTAAAATGAGAACAGTAGCAGCCATCTATTGTTGTAAGGACTAAACAGGTTAACCCAAACAAAACAAGATAACGCCAGACACAGTGCATGTGTGCGTACTCCCTACGGTGATAGCCTGCCCTGTGCTGAATGGGGGCTTCTTGCTTAGGGCCTAGCGTTGCTCAGTGATCTCTCCTGCTGCTTATACTCAAAGGGCTGCCCGTCAGACTGCACATGGAAAAGTCAGCCTGTGTGGTGGAAATGCAGCATCTCATCAGGCACCTGGGCTAGAACCTGGCTTGTTCTTTCCTGGGTTGGGGGATCTTGACCAAATTGCTTCCACCTCGCTACCTCATATTTTCAATCTGTTTTAACTGTTGTGTGTATTAAATATGATACATATACACAAGAGCACTTCAAAAAACTTGTGGAAAATGGAATTAAAAGATAAGTTTTGGGGCCGGCATTTGGCCCAGCGAGAAAATTGTTGGTTAGGATGTCCATGTCCCACTGTAGAGTTCCTGGGCTCAATTCCTGACTCTAGGCCCTCATTCTAGCTTCTAGCTACTAACCCTGGGAGGCTGTAGTTATGGCTTAAGTAACTGGGTTTCTCCCACCCATATGGGAGGCCAGGATCACGTTAGCAGCTCCTAGATTTGGCCCCAGGTGTTGCAGGTATCTAGGGACTAGATTAGCACTTGGGAGCATTCCCTCTTTTTATAGTTGCAAACAAATTTTGGGGGAGTAGGCACTTGGCATGGCAGTTAAAGACAGTGCTTGGAACACTGGGTTCCAGTACCAGATCCATCTGACTCCAGCATCCTGTGTATGCATACCCTGGGAGGGGCAGCAGGTGACGACGCACCTGGGTCCCTGCCATTTTCATGGGAGACCCACTTTGAGTTCTGGCCCTTGGCTTGGGCTTGGCCCAGCCTTGGCTGTTGCAGGCATCTGGGGAGTAAACCAGCATATAGGAGCACTCTCTTCCTCTGAGGTTCTCAAGGAAAAAAAAAGGAATATTAATTTTTTCACAAATTTTGAAGGCTTCTTGCATAAATGGATTTTATTTTGGCACCAAAATTAATTCATATTTTAAGACTTATTTATTTGAAAGGCAGAGTTACAGAGAGGCAGAGGCAGAAGAGAGAGAGAGAGGCAGGCATCTTTCATCTGCAGGTTCACTCCAAACGGTCATAATGGCTAGAGCTGGGCCAGTCAGAAGCCAGAAGCTTCTTCTGGGTCTCCCATGTGGGTGCAAGAGCCCAAAGACTTAGGCCATCTTCAGCTGCTTTCCTAGGTACATTAGCAGGGAGCTGGATTGGAAGTGGAGCAGCCAGGACTCAACCTGGTGCCCACAGGGGATGCCAGCACTGCAGGCAGAGGCTTTACCTGATATGCCACAGCGCCAGCCCCTAATAAACTCACCTTTTAATTTCATTTTCCATGATTTTTTAAATTTTTATTTGAAAGAGTTACACAGAGGGAGAAGGAGAGGCAGAGAGAAACTTTTCCATCTGCTGGTTCACTCCCCAAATGGCTGCAACGAAAGGAGCTGGGCTGATCTGAAGCCAGGGGCCAAGAGCTGCTTCGGAGCCTCCAATGTGGGTACAGGGGTCCAAGTATTTGGGCCACCTTCCACTGCTTTCCCAGGCTATAGCAGAGAGCTGGATTGGAAGTGGAGCAGCTAGGACTCAAACTGGCGCCCATATGAGACACTGGTACTGCAGCATCTGCCCAACTCTGCCTTTCAAATAAGTAAAAAATCTTTTTTTAAAAAAAGTAGAGACTACATGGATTATTTGTTTGTGATATTTCTACTCTGGTCTCTTATTTTTAACAGGAATGGAGAGTAGTAGTTCAAACTCTGGAGGAGTCTCTTGGGTTCAAATTCCAGCTCTGCCTCTTACCAGCAGCATAACCATGGGTTATTGTGAGTACCTCCTCTGTAAAACGAATAGCAGCTATACCTTTCAGGTTCACTGTTACAAAGATCAAGTGAATATATATCAAGGACTTAGGATCAGGCCTGGAGGCTAATAAATGTTCTTTGTTATTACAGTATTCTGCTCCTACCATTTCCTATATATTTTTTTTTTACCTCAAATGAAACAAAGTATTATAGAGTATCATGTTTAGAATCAAAGAGACCAGAGTTCAACTGCTTGTTTATCTACTTACTAGTCATATGATCTGAAGCACATTAGCTTTTCTGAGCCTCTGTCTCTCCATTTCTAAAAACAGGGATAGGGCCAGTGTCGTGGCTCACTAGGCTAATCCTCTACCTTGCGGCGCCGGCACACCGGGTTCTAGTCCCGGTCGGGGCGCCGGATTCTGTCCCGGTTGCCCCTCTTCCAGGCCAGCTCTCTGCTGTGGCCAGGGAGTGCAGTGGAGGATGGCCCAAGTGCTTGGGTCCTGCACCCCATGGGAGACCAGGAGAAGCACCTGGCTCCTGGCTTTGGATCAGCACGGTGCACCGGCCGCAGCAGCCATTGGAGGGTGAACCAACGGTAAAGGAAAACCTTCTCTCTCTCTCTCACTGTCCACTCTGTCAAAAAATAAAAATAAAAAAAAAAAAATAGGGATAGGGATATTTAAACAAAAATAAGAAAACACACCTAAAATGTTTAGCACAATGCTTTATATACAATGTGTGTTAAGTAACTAAATAGTTACTTTCATTTTTCATAATAATGTGACTCAATTTGCTTACTTAAATAATATTAAAATGTTGTCAAAGTAGGGCCGGTGTTGTGCTGGAGCAGGTTAAACCTTTGTCTGCAATGTAGGCAACCCGTATTAGAGTGCCAGTTTGAGTCCTGGCTGCTCCACTGCCAATCCATCTCTCTGCTAATGCTCCTGGGAAGGCAGCCAATGCCGCCCACGTGGGAGACCTGTATGGAATTCCTCGCTCCTGGCTTCGGCCTGGTTTCAGGTTTCCCCATTGTGGCCATTTGGGGAATGAACATGGAAGAACCATCTCTGTCTCTCCCTCTCCACCTTTCAAATAAATAAATAAATCTTTTTTAAAAAGTTATTAAAGTCAAATCCTTTAGAACAAACCTATGAGGTATTACGGTCTTCATTAAATGATGAAAAATGAGGTTCTGGGAGGCTAAATAACTTCTTTAAAAGTCCCTAATACTGTCTCAAAAACAGAAGAACAGGGATTCAATCCTCGGATTGTTTGGACTGATTAGATTATTGTGTTTTGTTTTTGTTTTTGTTTTTGACAGGCAGAGTTAGACAGTGAGAGAGAGAGACAGAGAGAAAGGTTTTCCTTCCATTGGTTCACCCCCCCAAATGGCTGCTACAGCCAGTGCACTGCGCCGATCCAAAGCCAGGAGCCAGGTGCTTCCTCCTGGTTTCCCATGTGGGTGCAGGTCCAAAGCACTTGGGCCTTCCTCCATTGCCTTCTGGGTCACAGCAGAGAGCTGGACTGGAAGAGGAGCAACCAGGACAGAATCCGGCACCCCAACCGGGACTAGAACCCAGGGTGCCGGCGCGGCAGGTGGAGGATTAGCCAAGTGAGCTGCAGCGCCAGCCTATTGTGTGTTCCAAGAGTCCACATCACACACAGATACAAAGCCATGTTTCAGGCACTGTTTCTATGTAGACACATCTCTTATCCTGCAAAGCAGGATGTGACAACTAAAGCTGCTAGCGTCTACTGAGTATTTGATTTTGTACTAGGTACTGTCCCAAACATTTTACACATATTCTGTGCAGTTTACCTACTCCTCTTTCCACACACAGCATGGACATAATCAGAGAACCATGCAAAACTCCACTGCCACATGGATATGCAGATAGTTTATTATTAAAATTTATTCTTATAATTACAGGCTATAACTTTGAAGTCTGAAACATAAGAGAAAATTAAGAGAGCCCAAAGAAACCTGAACAGTATGTAGAAGATGTTTTAAACTTTGTACGCAGTTTCACTTAGCTCTTTGTAAAACTTATCTTTTCCTTTCAAGTACAGGTCCTGGAGCTAGTCAATAACCCAAAATAGCACAAATGACTCCAAGACATTCACCCTACACAAGCAAGCAGGGAGATATAGATATATATTTATATAATATATATACTTTAATATTATATTGGTCCACCAAGAATACATATTTTAACAAAAGATAAGAATCTATGTTTTCCAGTTAAACATACATAAGATTAGGGTACACTTATTACACTGAAAGTTGGCATTTGTAAGTTACAGATATTTAATATTTTCCAGGGTGTTTTCTTTAGTTAAAAACAAATTTCAAAAGCATTTCAAACATTTGTTCATTTTCCCAGTGCAAAAGGTTGTTGTTAACCTACCTTACCTTTTTCCTGAAGAGTAAGGGGAAGGAAAAAGAAACATAAAAACCCACCTATCACAACTCCCAACACAACCTTCGCCATCAATATCTGCAGAAAATCCTTCGGCTGCTGGATTAGTCTATCAAAATTAAAACCTTATGACTAGGATTCAGCCCATGCTTTCTAAGTATGACTTTTATACTGCAACGTTTCTGTTTACAAAAATAGACAAAAAGAGCAGTACAAGAAAGTGGATTAAGTTTGTTTTAAACTGCAGCAGTCCAATTATATGTGGAAAGAAAAAAAGCACCATTTCAACATGAAATGAGTTGGGTGTTCTGAAATTTATTCATAGGCGAGGCACTAAGTTACTCTGATTTACACTAGACCAATACCACCTTCACTTGGTGATTCCAGTGAAGTATATTAATTTGAGGTGCATTTTTCTTTATCTTAGTATTTTATTCATCATCTAATTCAGTAATTCATGTTAAAAAAGGAAGATTATAATTTACAGCTTATTCCACAGTCTGCTTCACATTCAACTTCAGCTTGTCTCCATCAGTTTTACAGACTTTCAACACAAGAGCTTCTCAATTGTGAAAACAAGACTGCTCTTTGCTAGACTGCTAATTTTATAGGTAAAAATCATGAATCATGAAGAGAGTAAATAAAACACAAAGATGGACAGAACAGCAATACGATAATACATGTCATTTTCCATTTGTATTCAGTAAAGTTTTTACATTTCAAGTAATTGAGCCTTCATTAAAGAAAACCAAAATATATATACATGGAAAACTAAAGTACCTTCCAGTTCTAGCTTGCTGAAGTTTCGGCAAATAAACAAAGAGTCTATCATGAACTGAACAGGACAGTGCTATGGCAAAGGCAGAATGCCTGCCATGTTAGATGTTTACTTCTCTTATACTGATGGGTACACTTTAGGTGGTACATTTTCTCCAATGTTTAGCACTTAAAATGAATATTTTCTTACAAATTTTCTTTGTAAGAACTGATTTTATTAATTAGCAAATATAGAGGTATCTTGAGATCTATAATTCTTTAAATCCAGGGAAATTAAAAAAATTTCACACATTAGGCTTTAACATTTTTTATTTAGGAAAAGATCAAGGCTGAAGCTATACTAATTCAACCTAAAGCATCTCTTTTTTCCATAGCAGAGTCAGTCTATGCATTTTTTCCTTGCCTTTAAAAAACAAATTAAGCAGTATTTTTACCATAAGGACATAAAAGTAGCCAATTTGCACCAATCATAAAAGAAATACGATGTTCTTTCCTTTCCCCTCCCTCAACCAAATCAGGGGAGAATACTGAAAAATTTAAGAACCCCCCCCAGCTTCTGTCAGTATAACTACAGAACAAGGTTACCACAGGGTCAAACTATTTCTCTATATTCCAGATGGCAGAAGCTTGAGTGCTGTAGCTTTACAAGTAAAAGTAGCACAGGCAGGCAAAAGCTTATAGTAAATGCATGCCAGACAGGGTCTTAGGTGAAGTTGTCTGACTAGGTTACTGCTTTTATAGGGTGGGGAAAAATATATATATTTGTGACAAATTGGAAATAGACTAAAAAAAAAAAAAGAACAACTAAACATTTTTCTGTCACATTTACAGGAATCTCAAACCTTTTGTATTCCCATGCTCATAGGTAGTTTTGATACATATTGTAAATAGCTTCAGTATTCAGGAAAAAGAGTAAGTATTATTGACAAAAGACAAGAGAATTCTTCATGCTTCTGAAATCTCAGACTTGCTGAGTGCAATAGCCAGTTCTAAGTCTTCTTGCTCTTGTTGATTCAGCCGGGCAAGCCTCTGCTCTTCCTCTCTCTCACTTTCCCTCTTGGCCCACTCAATCATATCTTCTTCAGAGGGATACTGCCATTTAAGAGACCGAATGAATGAACAAATGAATAAGGAAGACAAATAAAAAGAAGGAAAACAGTTTTTATTGAAAAGGCATTTAGCCACTTTTTTTACCTCAAGGACTCTGGGAATCTTCCTTGTTATTTGTTATTTAAAAAAAAATTAGTTTTAACTAGTTATTAAATTGTTTAATTTTAAGAATTAATGCAGTCTATATGATAATTTATAAAACTAAACATTAAAAACATCACTTAAAAGAAGTACAAATGCTAAACAGACTAAGAGATCTAAAAACAGAAGGGGGTAAATAGCCTTTTTGATTCAATGTAAAACATTTACTAGTTCAACTTCAGTGAATTCATCCTCAGAGGATGAATGTTCTTAACTTAATCCCACTGGCAACTGTCTACCTTATCCTAGTCCTTCAGGTACAAAAAAACTATGAAGCAAAAAAGATGCTTATTTAGTTATATTTAATATAAAACCATTGGGTATACTAAGTAAGACACAACCAATTTTTAGAGCATTTTGAAGGTTTTGGCATGAAGTCTGGGAACATTTTTGATCTGCTCTATACAAAATCATAACACTGGTAATTACTAGGTTGGAGAAATATTTTTGTCCACCCAAAACAGACCAATTTTGGCAGATACTAAATAAAGAATTCTACTTGATTTCCAGCCTTGACACAGAGGAATCTCACAAAGGATAAAATGAAAGAAATAGTCAGGCTTTTTGTAACTGGTAGCTTTATTCATTAGGGAATTATAGGACTTTTGAAACTCTTAATACTGGACAAATCATTTTCTTTCTTTTTCTTTTCTTTCTTTTTTTTTTTTTTTTTTGACAGGCAGAGCGGATAGTGAGAGAGAGAGAGAGAGAGACAGAGAGAAAGGTCTTCCTTTTTGCCATTGGTTCACCCTCCAATGGCCGCCGTGGCCAGCACGCTGCGGCCGGCGCACCGCGCTGATCTGAAGGCAGGAGCCAGGTGCTTCTCCTGGTCTCCCATGGGGTGCAGGACCCAAGCACTTGGGCCATCCTCCACTGCCTTCCCGGGCCACAGCAGAGAGCTGGCCTGGAACAGGGGCAACTGGGAAAGAATCCAGCGCCCCGACCGGGACTAGAACCCGGTATGCCGGCGCTGCTAGGTGGAAGATTAGCCTATTGAGCCGCGGCGCCGGCCTGGACAAATGATTTTCACAATGAAAAAAAATTTATAATACAAGCTGCTTTATATTATACTATCTGAGATTCTGAAGTATGAAATAAGCAAAATGCCTTAACTATTGTTCAAGCTTCATTCCAACCAGGTTTTAATTCACTGAAACTATATTTAAGATACTAAATGCCACAAACTGTCAGAGTATTATTTTATATTAAGAGAATTATAATCTCCCAAGAAGGTTACTTCTTGACTCTGCTTGAGATAATACAACTTTCATCTTATGAAAATCCAGTCAATATAAATTTTTTTTTTTTGACAGGCAGAGTGGACAGTGAGAGAGAGAGAGAGACAGAGAGAAAGGTCTTCCTTTGCCGTTGGTTCACCCTCCAATGGCCGCCACGGCCAGTGAGCTGCAGCCGGCGCACCGCGCTGATCCGAAGGCAGGAGCCAGGTACTTATCCTGGTCTCCCATGGGGTACAGGGCCCAAGCACTTGGGCCATCCTCCACTGCACTCCCGGGCCACAGCAGAGAGCTGGCCTGGAAGAGGGGCAACCGGGACAGAATCCGGCGCCCCGACTGGGACTAGAACCCGGTGTGCCGGCGCCGCAAGGTGGAGGATTAGCCTAGTGAGCCGCAGCGCCGGCAAGTCAATATAATTTTGATACTCCATTTTGATAATATACAAAATATGACTCCTACTTTCTTTTGGTCACATTCAGGAGAACCCACCGGGACTTAGAGAACTGACTCAAAATTTCACTGCCTCGTTATATGCAAATACCTTCCTACCTGCTTTCCAACCAGAAACAGCAGCAGGGAAAAGTAACTGGTCAAGTGATCTAGTGCTACACCGAGTAGGGGAACATTAGGCAGACTGACCAGGGGCAGCCGGCCTCTTGTTTCTAAAATCAAAGGCGTAAGATGAGAAATAGAGAATTCCTGGGTTACAGAATAGTCAGTGATAATGAAAGTTATTTTGCCTCAAAAAAAAAAATTCAGAGGCCGGCGCCGTGGCTCAATAGGCTAATCCTCCACCTTGCGGCGCCGGCACACCGGGTTCTAGTCCCGGTCAGGGTGCCGGATTCTGTCCCGGTTGCCCCTCTTCCAGGCCAGCTCTCTGCTATGGCCAGGGAGTGCAGTGGAGGATGGCCCAGGTGCTTGGGCCCTGCACCCCATGGGAGACCAGGAAAAGCACCTGGATCCTGGCTCCTGCCATCGGATCAGCGCGGTGCGCCGGCTGCAGTGGCGGCCATTGGAGGGTGAACCAACAGCAAAGGAAGACCTTTCTCTCTGTCTCTCTCTCTCACTGTCCACTCTGCCTGTCAAAAATAAAAATTAAAAAAAAAAAATAAATAAATAAATAAATAAAAAAAAATTCAGGAAACCTCAAACTTCGTCAGTTGTACTCTAGGAGTTTAGTTAAAAAAATAAAGACTTGGTTTTATCTGAGCAACTGCTTTATGTCCCCCTACAGTGATGTCTCCACGGTTGGTGGTCCTTTCTGTGGTCTTATAGGTCCTGCCTATAACATTATCATAGCACCCCTCCTAATCAAGTTTCTGTTTTAATCAGCTCTAATAGAATGCAGAATAAACCTGGGAAGCTAGGGATCTAGAGCTCTCCAAATAACTAAAAATTTTCGTCATGTATTTCATAAATCTGACATTTTCATTTTTAAAAAGCTACTATATACAGTAACTAATTTCATCATTTAAAGAATTCCTGGCCCTATCCTCTCATACTCATGAAATAGTTGCTAATCAGGCCGGCACCGCAGCTCACTAGGCTAATCCTCCGCCTTGCGGCGCTGGCACACTGGGTTCTAGTCCCGGTCGGGACGCCGGATTCTGTCGCGGTTGCCCCTCTTCCAGGCCAGCCCTCTGCTGTGGTCAGGGAGTGTAGTGGGGGATGGCCCGAGTACTTGGGCCCTGCACCCCATGGGAGACCAGGAGAAGTACCTGGCTCCTGCCATTGGATCAGCGCGGTGCGCCGGCCGCAGCGCGCCGGCCACGGCGGCCATTGGAGGGTGAACCAACGGCAAAGGAAGACCTTTCTCTCTGTCTCTCTCTCTCTCTCACTGTCCACTCTGCCTGTCAAAAAAAAAAAAAAAAAAAAAAAAAGAAAAAAGAAAAAAGAAAGAAAGAAATAGTTGCTAATCAGTCTCCAGAATTCATTAAAACCTTATACACAACACATATATAGTTAGCAATTCTCAAGCTCATTACTAGCATTATTTATCTGGTGAACAGATAGCAAATGATTGTCTAATAGCTTATTAAAGCACCACCATCTATAACCATCTGCAAAATGTTAGGATTTTAATTACATCTATATTACCAAGACTAAGAGAAGGGTTTACAAAACAACTTGTATAGTATCACAAGAACTAAGATTAGAATCAGTCATGCAATGCAACAACTTTAAAACCATCAAAAGAGAACCAAACAGAGGTTTTGCTTTGGGGAAGAATGAAAGATTGTTTCTAGTATGTTGGTAAATTTAGTTGAAATAGTATAAATTTGGCAGATTCCAAAGCAAGCTTTGAAAACTCTTGAAGCTACAAATGGAAAGATTTCCCCCCCAAACAGCCCATTCACAGTACTTACAGCACTGAAGTTAGCAAAATTGCTTGGGTCAGCCTCTTTACTGGTAGTGGTAGTAGAAGTGAATGGATCACAAAACATATCAGGTTCTTTTTCTTTGGGGCTATCATTGCCTGGGAAAGGCTGAAATGGATCATTCAGTTTAAAGGGATCAGAAGAATCCAATTTGTTGATGGATCTTTTCCCTGGATTAAAATCATTATAATTAACTCAAGCAGTAAATATGGCAAACACAAGCACACAAGAACAAGTCCACAGGGAGCATTAAAGAACTGAGGATGGAGAAGGAGTGGGGATCTGATATATTTTTGGTATTGTCTTAAAAGGCAATACCAAGAATCGCCCTTAAAATTTTCATTCACTTTATCTCACATATATTCCAGCTATACACACTCAAATGAAAAAATAGCAATGTGGGTACGGGGTAGGGATTATATTTTAATAGAGAGTAAACCTGTTTTCTCTCAAAGAACCATGTTTCCAAAAAGAGAGGGAGGAAAGGATACAACAGGAGTAAGATGATAGAATCAGCCTGTTATAACCTCAGCCTGACACTTCAATGAGTCATCCTCGACTGGCAAGAGGGCAAATAAAGGACCTTTGAAAAATGGCAGAATTCTTCTTTTCTCCATATGCAGTATGAAGGGACATACAATTTAAAATTACCCTGGCAAAACCATTTTGTTACTTTTTTGTCATCTACAATATTTTCAATCTTTGAGTGGCTGCTGATAATTTGACCAAACAACAGCATACTATTCTGTTAGTCACTCATTAATTCATTATCATTTTCAAACACATTCTCTAATTTTAAGTTCTTACTTAAACTTAGTACTTTTTGAAGAAGAAATAATTAGAGTAGGTGTTAAGGTATCTTCAAATATATTTTCTTCCTAAAATGCATTAAGCTGGTAATAGCAACTGTAACAAGAGATTCTTTCCATCACTGTAGCAGCTTACAAAAGATGTTTTATCTCACACCTCAATGGATCCTTCCAACAATCCTGTGAAGGTAGGCAAAATTAGAATTAATTCTAATTTTCTGTCATAATCTATAACCTGAGGCTCAGACACAGGAAATTATACAGTTATGATTGGGAGCTAATCAGGGGGTACCCAGAGCCCAGATCTTCAGCCTCCCAGTCTGCTACTATTTTCAGCAAGCCACCCTTCTGTCTTTGGTCATTCTATGAAATACTCTCTGCTGAAGATTCTGATTCAGGCACTAGTTTACTATTTTATTTAGGATTTAAAAAAAAAACCATATTGCTATCGAATAGATATAAAAATTTAAGTGAGCAAGTTTACTATTTACTTATTTTTTTAACATAATCTGACAACCTGAACTCTTGCAATAGATGATGTAGGTTATTTTCCTTTTATTTATTTTTCAACAGATAATTGAGTATCAGTAACTGTACATACAATTCTTTATAATAAAGAATAAAATAATCTGCCCAAGAAATATCTCAGGGAGGTTATTTTGGCAAGAATAATAATTCTTAACTACTGATACTAAAAATTTACCAAGGTATGTTCAAAAAGCAATGTGTATCAAATGTCTTTTCACATAACAGCACTACAACCGCTTTGGGGATTGCCTTTTAGTCACTTTTTTATGAACAAAACAAAAACCCTCTCCTTTGTATAGTGTTAAACACACACATAAAGACATTAAGAAAAAAAAACACTATTATGAATCTGTTTCTGGATTAAACCAAAAAAATCACTGAGTTGGGTATCACCGGGAATGCCTGGCATCAGAAGTGTTTCAGATATTGGACTTTATAATATTTGCACATACATAATGAGATATTTTGGGATAGAACCCATGGCTAAACAGAAAATTTATGTTTTATACACCTCGTAACACATTACTTAATGGTAATTTTACATATTTTTAATATACTTTTTAAGATATTTTATTTATTAATTTGAAAAGCAAAGTAATGGAGAAAGGGGGAGAAAGAATGATTATCTTCCATATACTGGTTTACTCCTTAAACACCCTCGACAGCTGGGGTTGGACTCAGCAGAAGCCAGTAACTCCATCTGTCTCCCACACAAGTGGCAGGAACCCAAGTACTTGAGCCATCATTTGCTGCCTCCCAGGTACATCAGCAGGATGCTGGATTAGAAGAATGGAGAATGGGAAGGGGGTGTCCTAAATGGTAGCATAACTTGCTGTGTTACATCACCTGCCCCACGCTTGTATCTTCACTGTGTTTTATCACATGAGGTCAGGGGTAGAGTTCTTCTCTGTGGTGTCATGCTGGCACTCGGTTTCAGATTTGGGGGCATTTTGGATTTCAGATTTTCAGATAGGGATACCCAATCGATATTATAAACTACAGGTTTCTAAATGAGGTAAAATCATATTTTCCTCCAAGAAAAGCAACACTGATTTAAATCACTATATTGATGAATTCTGGATATCAAATGGCCATATATTCTCACATTAAAGGATTTAAGAAAGACTATGTTTTACAGGAAAAAATGAACTTCAAATTAACCCTTCCTGTACTAAACAGGAAACTGCTATTTAAAGGATAATGAGCTTTCAAAAAGCAAGATACTACAACCACAAGTCTCTTTTCCATTTAAGCCTCTGATTAAGAAAAATAAAAAAAAAAGCCTCTTGCCAGAAAGGCCGTTCATAGCAGTTACAAATGCTAGTCTCTCCAGCACATGGCTGTAATTCTGTGTTGTGGTGAGAACAGATGACAGAGGCAGGATTCTGTGTGCATTGACTTACTTTAAGGCCTTTTATATAAGTACAAAAGTAAGGCCCACATAATACTTTCCAGAAAGAGAAGGGACATCTAACTGACTTAGGGAAGGTACCGACTCTCATACCAGGTGGTGGTGGGCAGGGTCTTGTTGGAGTCCCGATCTTTGGTGGCAGTGCTGGAGGTACATCTTCATTTTTGACTGATGTTTCTTCAAACACATTTTTTGTAGTGACCACATTGCTGACGGAGTTTGATGTGGCTGAACTAAAAGGATCTTCATTGTTGACCTTTGTTTAAAAGAAAAGTTCATACATGGAGTTACACACACAGACACACACACACACACTCTATACCCAACTAATTTACATGATTATGTAGCACTGACTTGAGCATTATGGAGCTTTATTTATTATTATTATTTTATTTTGACAGAGTTAGACAGTGAGAGAGAGAGACAGAGAGAAAGGTCTTCCTTCCGTTGGTTCACCCCCCAAATGGCTGCTACAGGTGGCGCTGCGCCAATCTGAAGCCAGGAGCCAGGTGCTTCTTCCTAGTCTCCCATGTGGGTGTAGGGGCCCAAGCACCTGGGCCATCCTCCACTGCCTTCCCGGGCCACAGCAGAGAGTTGGACTGGAAGAGGAGCAACCGGGACTAGAATCCGGTGCCCATATGGGATGCTGGTGCCGCAGGTGGAGGATTAACCAAGTGAGCCACAGGCGCCAGCCCCTGGAGCTTTATTTATTTATATTCTGAAAACTGAAAACTGATAATTTCAGGACCTTTTTTTAAAATTTACTTTTTTTTTTAAGATTTATTTATTTGAAAGTCAGAGTTACACAGAGAGAAGAGAGGCAGAGAGAGAGAGAGGTCTTCCGTCTGATGGTTCATTCCTCAGTTGGCCGCAATGGCCGAAGCTGAGCCAATCCAAAGCCAGGAGCTTCTTCTGGGTCTCCCACGTGGGTGCAGGGGCCCAAGGACTTGGGCCATCCTCCACTGCTTTCCCAGGCCATAGCAGAGAGCTGGATTGGAAGTGGAGCAGCCAGGTCTCGAACTGGCGCCCATATGGGATGCCGTGCTTCAGGCCAGGGCGTTAACCTCCTGCGCCACAACTGCCAGCCCCTACTTTATTTATTTATTTTTTTTATTTTTGAACAGGCAGAGTTAGTGAGAAAGAGAGAGACAGAGAGAAAGGTCTTCCTTTTTCCATTGATTCACCCCCTAAGTTGCTGTTATAGCCGGTGCCTTGCAGCCAGCATGCTGCGCTGATCCGAAGCCAGGAGCCAGGTACTTCCTCTTGGTCTCCCATGGGTGCAGGGCCCAAGCACATGGGCCATCCTCCACTGCCTTCCTGGGTCATAGCAGAGAGCTGAACTGGAAGAGGGACAACTGGGACAGAATCCAGCGCCCCGACCGGGACTAGAACCCAGGGTGCCGGTGCCGCAGGTGGAGGATTAGCCAAGTGAGCCGCAGTGCTGGCCCGCCCCTACTTTATATGAAAAGCCGAGTTAGACAGAGAGGGAGTGAAAAAGCGATCCTCCATTCACTAGTTCACTCCCTAAATGGCTGCAACATCCAAGACTGGGCCAGACTGAAGTCAGGAACCAGGAGCTTCATCTGAGTCTCCCACATGCATGGCAGGAGCCCCATGCATTTGAGCCACCTTCTGCTCTTTCCCAGGTGCATTAGCAGGGAGCTGGATCAGAAGCAGAGCTGCCTCGACTCACATAGGATGCCAACACTGCAGGTGGTGGCTTAACCCCTTATGCCGTAACACCAGCCCCAGGGCCAAATTTTTTTCAAAATATTTCTGTTTGAAAGGCAGAGTGACAGAGAGAAAGGGAGAAACAGAGAGCTCTTCCATCTGCTGGTTCACTCACCAAAAAAGCAAGAACAGCTAGGTCTGGTCCTGGCTGAGCCAGGAACGGGGACCTCCAACCTGGTCTCCCACATAGCTTGCAGGGACCACACACTTGGACTATCCTCTGCTGCCTTCCCAGGCACATTTGCAGGAAGCTGAATTAGAATTGAAGAAGCAGGGCCAGCACTGTGGCACAGCATGTAAAGCCACCACCTACAGGGCCAACATCCCATATGGGTGCCGGTTCGAGTCCTGGCTGCTTCACTTTCAATCCAGTTCTCTACTACAGCCTGGTAAAGCAGTAGAAGATGGCCCAACTCTTTGGGCCCCTGCATCCACATAGGAGACCCAGAAGAAGATTTTGGCTCATGGCTTTGGATCGGCACAACTCTAGCCATTTCAGCCATGGGAGTGAACCATTGGATGGAAGACCTCTTTCTCTCTCTCAATGCCTCTGCCTCTCTGTAACTCTGACTTTCAAATAAATAAATAAATAAATATCTCTTAAAAAAAAAAAAAAAAAAGAACTGGAGAAGCTGGGACTTCATTTGGCACTTTTATATGGGATGCACGTGCCACAAGCCACAACTTAACCTTCTGTACTACAACATTAGTCTTGGGACAATTTTTTTTAGAAAACTGTTCTATAACAGTAGTGAATTCTAACAGCATTATTTATTAAGAGCAATGGGTCAAAGCCAAAAATGCCAACTTTGGATGACAGGTTTGTCAAGCTTCAGGAAATATTCAGAACAAAATGACCGAAGCCTGTTCTGAAGGGACTGTCTTCACATGGAACAGCTGATCCAAATGATAAAGGGAAAAAAAAATACTGATTCTATACTTCTTGATGCACTTAAATATAGGAGATATTTCATATTAATACAAAGAAAATGATATATACACAAAATAAAGAGACAACTTGAAAGCTAACTTTTTAAACAAATTGATCCAGTAGGATGGTAAATCTTAAGGTGAGTCTGAAGGCTGCCTTCCAAATACATAGAGTAATGAAAGATTTACTTCTCTGTAACAAACCAGACTTTACAATTTTTTTTTTTTTTTTTTTTGACAGGCAGAGTGGACAGTGAGAGAGAGAGACAGAGAGAGAAAGGTCTTCCTTTGCCGCTGGTTCACCCTCCAATGGCCGCCGCTGCAGCCGGCGCACCGCGCTGATCCTGGCAGGAGCCAGGAGCCAGGTGCTTTTCCTGGTCTCCCATGGGGTGCAGGGCCCAAGCACCTGGGCCATCCTCCACTGCACTCCCTGGCCATAGCAGAGAGCTGGCCTGGAAGAGGGGCAACCGGGACAGAATCCGGCGCCCCGACCGGGACTAGAACCCGGTGTGCCGGCGCCGCAAGGTGGAGGATTAGCCTATTGAGCCACGGCGCCGGCTCAGACTTTACAATTTTAAATCTATTTTCTATGTTCCTATGTTTTAAATCTATTTCCTATGTTCCTATGTTTCTCAACAATGGCACTACTGACAATTTGGGTTGGACATAATTCCACATTTTTGGGGACCGGACAGTGCATTGTGAGACATTTCATAGCATCCTTGGTCTCTGTCCACTTGATGTGATTAACATTCCTCACCCAGCTGTGAAAACCAAAAATGTCTTTAGACACTGCCGAAGATTCCAGGGAGGCAAAATAATACCAGTTAAGAACTAATGATAGAGACAATTTTACATACAATCTAATCCTTTTCTCTTGACCTGAATTAATACCAGAGCTACACTAGAAGTAGTAGATGTTTAGTGCTGGTCTTTGTGTATTGATTATCTTAATTTTGACCCTAACAACCTCAGAACATGAAATGAAGTAACCAATACAGAGAGGATGGGATGAATGCCCAGAATTTACAGCAATACACCTCAACCGTCAATGGGGGGGGGGGGGGGAATGTAGTTCAATGGGGACAAACATGTATAAAAAGAGAAAAAGACTTTAAATATGAAGCTGCTGAGCAAACTTGTGAATAGAAAATAATTACTTACAACATTACCATAGTCTGTGTACAGAAATATGTCAACTTTGGCTATATATTATCTGTCATTTCATTCTGAAATAAACATTTGTTGTGACTTACTGAAATCAAGTGGTAATGTCTATGAGAAGGTTATAGTATTGAAAGGAGGATTGCTCCTTTACAAGAAGCACAGCATAGTTTCCCATTCTTATTAATCACTGCCCATTACCTTTGACAATGTGCTGAAGTCAGCAAATCCATCTCCAAATGATTCATTTCCAAAAACAGAGGCAAAGGGGTCTGTGGCTAAAATAAAGAAAATCAATGTAATAGGATAGAGATTGAATCTGTTCTCTTTTGGTTGGTAACATTCAGACAGATGAAAAATATTACAGAGTGCACAATGAGAGATATTTCTTTGTATGAATCAACTGATTCTGTCATAAAAGTTAAAACTAATTTTCACTTTATTTGAAGGGGAAAGAAAGAGGGTAAAGTCTTTCATCTGCTTCTCTACCACCCCAAATGCTGGCAATATACAGGGCAGGGCCAGGCCAAACTCAGAACCTGGAACTCAATCCAGGTCTCCCACATGGCTGGCAGGAACCTAAGTACTCAAGCCATTATCTGTTGTCTCCAAAGGTACACATTAGCAGGAAGCTGGATCAGGAACAGGGGGATTAGGACTTGAATCAGGCACTCCAATATGGGATGCAGGTGTCCAAAGCAGTGTGTTAGCTACTGAGTAAAATGCCAGCCCTGATCTAATTTTCTATTTAATCCAAGACGTATTCCTGATTTGATTCAGGATCAAAAACAGGTGAACTAACTCTAAGTAAAGTATATAAGGCTCTGGTATACATATCCAATAATACAGCTCTTATGAATTTAAATTATTTAAATCAGGAAATAAAAAAAAAAAAGATGGGGGGTGGGCAACAGGTGTTTGACCTAATAGTTAAAGCTGTAGGTTGGGATGCCCACAGCTCATAGGAAGTACCTAGGTTTGAATCCCAGCTCTGTTCCCAATTCTGGTTTCCTGGTGGCATTCACCCTGGGAGGCAGCAGATAATGGCTCAAGTAGAAGAGTCTCTGCAACCCACATGGAAGACCTAGACTGAGTTCCTGACTCCTGACTTTGGCCTGGCTCGGCCCTGGTCTTTGTGGGTATTTGGCTTGGTGGCTGGGGCGAGGAGGTGGAGTGGGACACTGGCAGATAGAAGTTCTCTCTTGCAAATTAAACAATAAAAAGTAAAAAAAAAAAAGATACCATTAAGTCCACAATTCACATGCATCCTCCAAGGCCCATTTCAAATGCTACCTCACCCACAAAACCGGAGATAACCTAAGTTGTTGCCAATTCTCCTAGCAGGAAGTGACTCCTTCCTTCTCTGTAGCAATAGTTACATTCTAATTTGTTCTATGGTTATCCATGATTGATAATCACCCTTTTTAGACAGCAAGTTTCTTGAAAACAGGAATAAGGCCTATCCAATGATGAATGAATGGTCAATGAACATCTTTGAGCTATATATTAGGTCTAAGACAATAAGATATAGATCCTACTTTTTTTTTTTTTTAATATTTGTTTATTTGAAAGGCAGAGTTACAGAGACAGAAAAAGAGACAGGGACAGAGAGATAGCAAGAAAGAGAGGGAGGGGTCTTCCATCTGCTGGTTCACTTCCCAAATGGCTACAATGGCTGAGGCTGGGCCAGGCTCAAGTCAGGAGCTTGGAACTCCATTCAGGTCTCCCATGTGGGTGGCAGTGGCCCAAGCATTTGGACTATCTTCTGCTACATTAGCAGGGAGCTGGATCAGAAGTGGGGCAGCCAAACTCAAACCAGCATTCATATGGGATGCTGGCATTGCAGGGGAAGGCTTAATCCAGTGCACCACATGCCAGTCCCTAGTTCCTCCTTTGAAAAGCTCAGTCTAATGAAACATAAACAATAATAAGAGTCTTTTACAGATTATTACAGAGGCATGAAAAAGCTGTAGTTGGAAGTCACTAATTGGGAAAATCAGGAAAACTAGCAGAGGCCGGCACTGTGGTGTAGCAGGTAAAGCCACTTTCTGCAGTGCAGACATCTCATACGAGCACTGGTTCAAGACCCGGCTGCTCCACTTCTGATCCAGCTCCCTGCTCTGCTAATCCACCTGGGGAAGCAGCAGAGGATGGCCCAAGTACTTGGGCTCCTGCACCCACATGGGAGATCCACAAGAAGCTCCTGGCTCTGACCTGGATCAGACTTGGCTGTTGCAGCCATTCGGGGAGTGAACCAGCAGATTGAAGATCTCTCTTTCTGCTCTGCCTCTCTGTAATTCTGCCTTTCAAATAAATAAATAAATAAATGTTTAAACTAGTAAGCAGCCATTATATCTGAACTTTTCAGGATGGTCTTTTGAGTAAGAAATGTTCTTTGCCAAATAGATTGAGGCAGTGGACAGCAAATAGTCTACCAGACAGAAGGGACACTAACTACAAAAGCATTACTTAACCAAAACTCTACAGGCATAAGCAGTTCTCTCTTCCCTCACAGTGTTCTCTCCAGGTAGACTAACATTTTCAGCTGGAATGGATGGCTCTTACTGTGACACAGGCATCACCTCTTCAGACATGAAGCCAACCAATGACACCAAAGAATGTTTATATAAGTTGCTGTAATATAAGAAGCCGAAGGAAACAAAGAAAGAGAAAGAACTGCAAAAGAGAAGTCAAGACAGGCATAAAATTCTCCTTGTTCTTCTTAACTCCTCATCTTTGAATCAAACCAATTTTTTAAAAGATTTATTTATTTTATTTGAAACACAGAGCAAGAGAGAGAGTAAGAGAATCTTCCGTCTGCTGGTTCACTTCCAAATGGCCACAATAGCCGGAGCTGGGTGGATCTGAAGCCAGGAGTCAGGAGCTTTTTCCTGGTCTCCCACACAGACGCAGGGGCCCAAGGATTTGGGCCATCCTCTACTGTTTTCCCAGGTCATAGCAGGCAGCTGGATTGGAAGTAGGGCAGATGAACAGGCACCCATATGGGATGCCGGCACTGCAGGAGGCAGCTTTACCCTCTATGCCACAGCACCAGCCCCAAACCATTCCTAGAACAAAAATTGTGTCTGTTCACCCACCCATTTAAATGTATAAAGTGTGCCTGTATCTCTAGAAAGGAGTATACCAAAGATATAAACAGAAGACGAGGGGGCCAGCACTGTGGTGTAGTGGGTAAAGCCGCTGCCTGCGGTGCCGGCATCCCATATCGGCATCAGTTCGAGTCCCTGCTGCTTTACTTCTGATCCAGCTCTCTGCTATGGCCTAAGAAAGCAGTAGACAATGGCTTAAGTCTTTGGGCCCCTGCACCCACATGGGAGACCCAGAGGAAGCTCCTGGCTCCTGGCTTCGGATTGGTGCAGCTCCGGCTGTTGCGGCTGATTGGGGAGTGAACCAGCAGATGGAAGACTTCTCTCTCTGTGTTAACTCTAACTTTCAAATAAATAAATAAATCTTTTTTAAAAAATGAAAAAGATTATTCATAAAAAAAACCCGGAAGACAGGCAAGGACTATGTATTGCTTTTGTTTGCTTTGTTTCCAAACCAGTGATGGGGAAGTGGGCAGGTACATTCAAAGAAAAATTTAGAGAACACTGATCCCAAAGAGAATGTTGAGAAGTCCAGAGTTACAGGCAACCCTATCATTTTATCTATTAAAGTTGTTTCTCATTAACACATATTTGCTGAGGACCACAGCTCACTGGTTCTATTTCAGGTTTTCCTTTCCTTTTCCTCTGTTACTCCCGGTAACACAGCTATTGAGGTTCAGGCTGAGCAGGATGCAGGTGCTCTCCTAATTGTAAGAAGAGTAATAGGGAGAAGGAGCTGGGCTGATTCCTCTGGAAGGATGAAAAACCTGCTTCATGCCTTTTCTCTGCCCACTGCCTTTACAAGAAGCCATAACATGTGTGGCAATGATACTGAGTTAGGTCCGATTTGACTGAAATGTTGTGATGTACATAATGTGGAAGAAATTAGTAAAAGCCATGACATTTCTATATTATGAACATAACATACTAGAAGAATTTCTTCCTTTTATTTTTTTTAAGATTTATTATTTTATTTATTTGAAAGGCAGTTATAGAGAGAGGTAGAAACAGAGAGAGATGTCTTCCATCCACTGTTTCACTCCCAAAACGGCTGCAATGACAGGCTAGGCCAGGCCAATGCCAAGAGCCAGGGTCTCTCAAGTGGGTGCAGGGGCCCAAGCTCTTGGGTCATCCTCTGCTGTCTTCGCAGGCACATCAGCAGGGAGCTGGATCAGAAGTTGGTGAACCAGTGCCCATACGGGATACCAGCACTGTAGGCGGGGGTTTTCACCCACAGCGCCACAATGCCAGGCTCTTTATTAGAGTCTTTCTATACCTAATAAATGACCAATTTAGCACTGGACCAAATGCTGGGAAAACATATCCCAGATAAACGACAAAGCATTTCTGCCAAAATTTGGCAATTAAGACATCAGCAAGAACCTTCTCAGATACTGATCATGGTTAAAATGAAGCAGATGTGCCTGCCCAGAAACTGGAAGGACTTGCCTAGAAACCGTGAACTTGCTGAAATCACATGAGGGACCCCTAATGGGGGGTAGCCCCTGGTATATCTGGAAAGAAATCCTGCTTAGCTTTCTTTCTCTTCATGTACTCAGCAACCATAACCCACAGAACCAGGCTTTAAGTCAAAAGACCTCATTGTTGCCCCTTTATATGTATTTTGGAAAAATATACAAAAGCTAAATATTATAATTTCATTATTATAAATAACCTTTACCAATATTTTAGCATACTTAATAGTCTTTTATTTGAAAAGAGATTTCCCATGTTCAGACAGTTGGAGTCTAGCACCTGTGTTCTAAACATTAACTACTATTCTTTAGACTGTTCCATTCAATTAAGCTTATGACAATGTAGCAAATTTGACACATATCATGTCTGCATAGCTCCAGCAATCAACTAGCAAGTTTCTGCAATGTCCAGAAGCTTGGGGGAGTAGGGATGCAACCTAGGACAACTGCAGGTTTCTGCTTGAGTAATTGAATAGATGGTGATAAAAAAAAATATTAACAAACACAGGCTATTCAGAGGAATGTTGAGTGTTGCTTCACATTTCATAGAGTGGACAACATTACTTTCAGATACTTTTCTGTGACATATTAAGAAAAAACACATTATCTATAGATCTGTCTATGTCCCAGGGCTAGTGACTAGATTTGTGGTAATACTATCAACATTGAGAAACACAATCCTAGCAGTAATGTGGA